ATTTACTCAATAATTACTCCTTTATTATAAATAATAGAAAAAAATGGTTCAGGACTTTTCGACTCAGTTTTACTCCCTCTACCTGCCTACGAGAGATTGTACGGCAATTCTGGGACACCCTGTATATATGGGTCCTAGAGACTGCTAGAGACTCTAATTTACCTTATCTTTATCTTTAAAGATAAACACAAATAAACTTTATTTTAAATTTTTTAAAAATCACGAAATTATATTTATGTGAGAATAAATAAATACAAAACAATACAATATTTCATTGTGTTTCATATGCGTTAGTATTATGCGATACAGTGCGACATTTGACTATTACGGTATGGATTACTTCCGGGAAGAAGACCGAGCAAGAGGAGAAGGAACATCAAGGTCGGGCCTGTCAAGTGGTGGGAGATAGAAATTGTACAAAGATGACGGCGGTAGCTATTTCTCCGGCAATGTCTCATAACAATAACGGCATAATACAAGTAGTAAATGAAAGTAATTTAAGTAAGATAGAGAGGTATGCATATTTTGTATCTGTCTATTGTAAGCGTGATTATTGAAAAGACACTTAATCGAGAAAACTATCGATCCACTTTATAGCTTTCTCAACGACCAGGCTTACAGAGAAGCCATTGAAAATTCTTCAAGCTACAACAGCCGACTATGCAGGGAACGACGTCTTCGCATGCCTTTTCTCGACTCCCAAACAGGTACGACAATTATGTCACAATAATTTTATACAATTGTTATAGAACTGAACAATATACTTTGCTATAATATGCTTTGACATTTTTAATATTTGTGAGTTAAATTTATTGTAAACAATGTATGTAAACACATTCTGTAAATGTAAACCATTTAATAATTGATATAAACTAAAGAATAATATGAAGAATAAGAATAAATAACAACATTAAATGATAGTGCAAACTAAAAGACAAGTAAAAAATAACAAAAGTATTAAAAAAAATCATAATAAAATAAGATAAATATGTATAAAATTGCAGGAGTTGCACAAAATCACTCTGCACTTTTCATGTCTTCAAGAGAAAGATTACCAGGTTTATTGCATGGTCAAATTTATACTTATCCCAGTAAAAGATGGCGGAAAAAACGACGGCAATATTTAATGCATTATCTACATCCAAAACGAGGACCAAGAGGTGACACAGAAGATGGAACAGAAGGTGTAGAAGCTATTACACATGTAAATGATGATAGCAAAGATTCAGTAGGTCTTAAAGGTAAATAAAAATGAATGTCAAATATAAATTTGCATTTTGTGTACCAATTTTTAAATTTAAATTATCAAATTATTAATTAAAAAAATGACATTTGCTTTTAGATGAACACAGTAAAGATGCCTGGTATTATGATGAGCAGGACATGTTAGACATGGACGCTTATGACGAACCTGATCCTGATAGTGATTATGATTATGAGGAAAGCTATAGTAGTAAACGAAAACGCAGAAAAACACGTGGTGGTGGTCATCATCCTGCACGTAGTCATCCACCTACCACAGATAGTCCAAGCGGCAAACGAGCCAAGGTAAGCAGGTTATACATGTATATATGGTCAAAGCCCTAAGCATGGGCGTTCCTAGGATTAACTGGTTAATGTACAGAACAACTAGGTGTCTTGGTCAAGGCTCGAACATTTGAGACGTATAAAATAATTCGTTTCTATCTCAATCTGTATCTAATCTGTAATATGTTATGGCGATAATAGCGTACATTGAAAAGTACGCTAAAAAAACTATTTCGGACTTTGACCAAGATGCTTGGTTGTTTCGTACATTGACCAGTCAATTTTAGAAACGCCCTTAGGGCTTTGGTCATAATATATACACACATAACTATTAATAACAAATCTTTCATACATAAACTATTAAAAATGTAACAATGTAAATTATATCTCAATACAGTAATTTGTGAACATTTATAAATATGTGACTAATATAAATTTTTCTTGAAACAGGGTGGGGGACGTGGGCGAAAAAAAGCCAACTACGATACTACCATTGACTCTGATAAACCATTCGTTTGTGACCGTAAGTTTAATCATAGATATAATTACAAATGACCATTCTTGTTGTTAGTTTATTATAATTATCATTGTTATTACTTTCGAAACTTATTGATTTCAAATAAGTTACAGATCTATACAGACCTTTTGTTACAAAGTTTTGTTATGTTTATCTTATATTTGTGTTTATAATGTTACATTACAAAACAAAAATTAGATTTATGATAAGATGGAAATTTTTGAAATAAATATTACAGTTAAATATATAAAAGTTGAAGAATAATCTTATGTCAGATTATTAGAATGATTTAAATTACGTGAAAAACTATAATGTGGGAAGATTCTGATTTTTTATAAACATAATGGTTATTTAGAGAAGTACTGTGACGCAAGTTTTCCTTCAAATTTAAATTGAAACAAAGTGAATACACAAAAGTCTGAATGTAAAATGTTTATTGTGTGAGAAACATTTTATTATTTTTGTTCATTGATTTGTTTTTTTACTTCAATATGAACAGTTATGGTATGGTTCTGAGTGCAAGGCAAAGATTAGTTTATACGTCCAAACTTTTGTGCATAAATAGTATGTTTTTTTTTCTTTTTTAATATTTATACACATTAAATATTTTTTCCTACATTGATTATTTTTTTGCCTAGAGATATATTAACAATATTCTTAAAGAATTGTATTTATATATATATTCAACTGTTGTTTTATACATTAAAATCGAAGATTTGACACGTTGCTGTCTAAGTAAACTAACATTTTATAATTCAACTTCTAATATTTCATTTTTTGATTAAAGACGAAAAAAATTTAACACAACCTATACTATTCTGCCAATTAGACGCTTAAACTTTATTTACAATCATCATGTAACATTTAAAATCATCATGACAAAGTAATTGAATCTAAAGCTGCTCACCTTTGTACTTACAAAGACAGATTTATTTACGAACGTGTCTTTCTTCGAAAAATTGATTTACTTACATACTTATTATGCACAAATTTTTTGGATTCTGGACATTTTAGCGTAAGATACGAAGAAACAGAAAAATTGAAAATAAAAGTGGAATAATTTTTCAAACAATCGCGACATTACCTACTCTCTTTTGAAGGAGTATAATAGTCATTACTAATTTGGTCAAACTTTCCCAGACATCAAGTCTATAAATTAACTCGAATGTGCCTGCAATCTGTTTACTTCTTGAAACCACTCCTGTTAGACTAGCAGTCGATCTAAAGACATTTGGTCTGGTTATGCTAAGCTCATGGTAGAAACGAAAATACTCCTTTTTTTCGTCACATACGAAACCATTAAAATCGTCCGCCGGACGATCGAGCTAATGTCACCGGCCCAAATATCTTCGGACTAGTTCTACCTGCAATAATAACAGAGCAAGAATGTACTGGCTCACACTTGTAGCGAGCTCATTCTGTAGGAGTATCAAGCATCAAGCCTTGCATCGTATTAGTTTTGCTTCTTGGGCTGGAACTCCTTCACTGCTTGTCCACATTATAGACTCGTAGGTGGATAGGGATGTGTACTGGTGCGGAAGGTGTGCAAATGCCTATCCCTAAGACCCACCCGCCCTGTCAAGCTTCTTTGGTCCCGTACTGTCCTCCCTTGATCATCCGTTTAAACAAAAACAAAAAAAAAAACAAAAAGAGAAAAGTCTGTCTTATCATTGGACGTTGCATTGGATGGATTGCGGGAAAACAGTATTTGCACTTTTGCAGTATGCAGCGCACGGTATAAGACCAGACCTGGTCTGGTCTACCATTACGGTCATTCCCACTCTACTTCCTCTGGTGATCCTGCTAAGGAACTAAGTCCCAGTCCTGCCGAAGTTGAACCTAGGAGCGTTGCAGACACCGCTGCTTCGAACCAGCCAGGTTGGAGCCAAAATCAGCTCAGTTTTCTCACTTTCCTTTAAGCCCGCGTTCCTCACCTAAATACAAACTGGACCCTGGTCCCAGTTTCCCATTTACCATTATCTTCAATCACATCCCGGTCATGCAACTTACCCCAAAAACTCCCGATATAACCTAATATATTATATATTTTTTTAATATGTACTGCAAATGCATGCATTGCAATAAGGTATAGTGAATTTTTTTCAATTTATGTATTTTTTGATATTTATACGTATGTATATGTATGCGGAATATGGTATGCTTTCTCTCTGATGTGTTTATAATTTATTATGATTAACTAATAATATGTGTACGGATGAACAATATTTAAACCGTATATATTTTGATATAAGTAATTTAATTTTGCATTTTATATATGAGTATACACGTATATTACATACATATTTTCTATACGTTTACGTTGTTTTTATAAAAAAAATGGAGATATGTCATTTTGATTAATGAATGAAAAAGTGATAAATTTATTTTTGTATTACCGTCTACTTTGCAAGTAGCATGCTTCTGCAATAACATATAAAAAAAAAAAGTACTTTTATTTTTATTTTTTATATAATTAGAAAGAGACACAAAGGAAAATACCGAGTTTTGTAGGTTGGTATTTTTTTGGCGCGATTGTGACAGTCGTAACTCAACAGTGTAACTCAGTATGTGTGTGTTTTTTTTTTTTTTTAACTAGTAGCTCCTTTCGTATACAAATCTTTTCGGCATGATTTATAGTTTTTACGAATGAGCCTAACAGAGTAAAGATTTCTTTTCTTTGCTGTTTTTGACGCTTGTATTACTCCTAGAGCGATTTTGGCTTCGAATTTCCTATTAATGAATGTTGAAGGCCTCGTTGAAGCAAAATAGGTATTATCTTTCAAGTTACTTGTAGTTCCAATATGTTTGAAAAAATCGTTTGTTTGTACCTTTTGTCTGTACTTGGAATCGAATATATCTCATCGTTACATATCGTAGATTTTTTGCTGCTGGTGATGGAATGTACTGATTGACATATTTGCACTTTATTTATACCAACGTATAATCGGATTTGTTTTCCTTGTTGTAACGATTTGTTAAATATTTGTGAAGTTTAGAATAATTGATTCTGTTATATAAAAAAATGCGACGATCAAAGCACTGGATTTTGCGATCTCTGTTTATATGCCTACATATATGTACGCATAAATAAACAGAAATAAACGCATGCATAACAAGTAATGTTCCAATTGCAATCGCTATTTGCAGTTACAAACGTTTCTAAATTCAGAGTAAACTTTGTAAATTTTCAAATTATCTTTAATATCAGTTAAAAAAAAAAAAAAAAAAAAAAACAACTTTAAACTCTGTTAAATATAAAATTTGCTCTTAGAGAGCTGAAACATTTTACGTTTTATAAATATTCAATTTTCTTGCTGTTTGCAATTTGTTTGAAAAACTTTTGATATCTCCATTTATTAACAATCCATTCAAATTTCTTATCACGGAAACATTTTATAACCTACACGTGTCGTAAATTCGCAACTTAACTGAATCGATTATGAACAGACATTCACAGAGAGATAAAAAGAAATACGCGAGTCAAAGTACGAGTTTATTGTCTATAAAGCCAGTGTGCATGGTCATTTGCTTGTGACGGCAAAGCGCAACTGGGTATGTTGGTCGATTTGTGATCAGGTGGTACGCGTCGGGGTCGTCAGAGCGCTACTTCCTCGAGTACCTCAAGCCCGTCGCCGGCTGCGCCCACCGCGGCTGCGACTCCCGCTGGAGCGGCACCGCAATCCCAACAACAGTCGTCGCAACAGCAACAACTCCCACCTACGGTGCAGACCCCCAGTAGCGTCGCACCACTATCACCAACAGTGCCAACGCCTAAGGAAGATCATCTTCCGGCCGCATCCTCACCCGGTGGCACTGCTGTTCCTTCGCTCTCCACCGCAGAGAACGCTGCGGTAACCACAGGAGGACCACCCACACCCGGAGGCGGATCGTCAAACTCCGGCGAAAAGAAGGCCGGCGGCAAGTCTTCCGCACAGCCGTCACCCTACTGCGACTTCTGCCTAGGTGACGCACGCGAGAACAAGAAGACCGGTGGTTCCGAGGAGCTGATGTCGTGCAGCGACTGCGGCCGCTCAGGTAAGCCAGAAGAAAAGATCAAGCGCAAGTATACCAGAAGAGCGAATCACAATTAAGCCTCTTGTGGTTGCACGAAAGTTTTGCGCGAGGATTTCTGCACGACTACACAAAATAGCAGCAACAGGGACGATGACGATGACGAAGACGGTAAACGATAATGATAATCACGTAGTCACGTATTAATAATTGAAGCTAGTATGTTCCGGTAAAAAAAAGAGAGAAAGAGAGAGCTGTTCGTTTCTGCGAATAGTTCCGTTTTCTATGTCTCTTTGCGAGTCTACCGTGGACCCTGCGTCCTATGCATACATATAGCCAGATACAACTCAAAAACAAAAAAGAAAGAAACATACAATTGGGCAGTTGTTGATCTTAATATTAAATATGACGATTTCTCGCGACACTGAAATGACTGTATATGACTATATAGTGATTAATTAGCGATATAATGTTTTTTGAAACAATCGGATGCCATCGTCCGAGCGTTATAAGAATATTAAATATATCCACGTGTTTTATGCCATAATTGTTTATGCTTCCATGTTTCAGCTGTTACTATCGTGAAAGATATTAAATAAGTAATTTGTTAATTTTACAACAATCAAGTGTGTGTGTGTGTGTGTGTTTGCGCCGCCCTTCCTTACGCAGGATTATCACTGTTCTCTATGTTTCAGACATATGATTGTTAAAACTTGCAATCGAGATGTTTAGAATTGTCTGTTACGTTCAACACAACAGACAATTTGAGTTTGTATAATTTGAGGATCTTGCTTTTTTTTTTTTTGTTATTGCGTGACAAAATCGCTTCCAATTATATCGCGATATATATACATATGCGTATATATTTATATACACACACACGCGTACCCGTTAGATTTAGAAATATTTGTTATCGGTTTTTCGCAGACCACGTTTTATCTACATTTTAAGTCGTTAAAAAAAAAAAAAAGAAACGAAGAGGAGAAATAACTTTTTGAGTTGTATGGGGTTAATTGTCGCGTGACGCATCCCTGCTCGTCACTGCCGCTAAGGGTAATAGAAACACGCTGTTTTGCAATGGGGGGTGCAATAATTAAGGAGGGAACCATATAATTATCTGCACACAGTTTTAGAGATCAAACGGTTACGAGCTTTACATACACTAGTCAAGATGAGGAACACAAAACATCGTTTTGTCAATGGTGCAACTTGTCGCATCTGAGTAATAGGAATTTTCAGGAATTCCTTTACTGCGCGAATTTGCTGTGATTTATAGTAACTTTGATTAGTTCTAAGAAGTTATATAAATCGGCGTGGTGACACGTAATATTACATTCAGCACGAATCATTATAAAAAAAAAAAAGTCTTCATCGAGAGAAGTGAGAGAAGTCAAATTTTGTCGTATGTGTGTGTGTGATTGGACAAATCGATTGATCGCGACTAGTTGTTTAGGTTTCTTTTCTCGCGACATTTTGAACGCAAAAATTAAAAAAAAATTTGTTAAAATTCCTGTTGCACAGTACTACTAGAGCACATATTGAAGAAGATGTGTTTGTCTTCTGTTTGACAGTGTATCCTGATATTTACGTTATTATGTTAGAAATCAAAACAAAAAAAACCTTACGTTACTGTGTTAGAAATCAAAACAAAAAAAAGAAAAAAACAAAAAAAAATACGGAGAAATATACAGAGGCGTGAAACACGCACCGGCGAGTTTAAGAGAGAATTTTAGATATGACGCAATATATATACATATATGTATATATGTATGTATGTATGTATATATATATATATATGTATATATATTATATATATATATTATATATATACTTTATATATCCAGCACAATCATAAAAGTCGTTTTTAACAAGAAACAACATATTTATTGTAAAATAACGAAATGTTGAATCACGTCGTATTTTCAATATTTTTACGTTTCTCGAACGCTTGTAAATACTCTTCTGTATCTTTGCGTTTGTTGAGTATTATACGAGTTTAGATAAAATGCGAGCGCAGCACAGAAAGAGATAATGCGAGAGAAGAGTGCAGAAGAATCTTCGTACCTCCGCGCGGAAAACTTTGAAAACGTTTTACAGAATTTTTTTTTCTTTTTTTTTTTTGAACTTAAAAACTTGATTAAATAAATAAAAACGCGATTTCGCGCAAGTTTGTGTTTAATCAACGAGTGTTCGATAACTTCCTTCTAATACGTTTAACACATTCCATTGTATATCTACCGCTCTTAATTATCTTTTAGTTGTGGGCATTAGATTCTCTGATCTAATATAATATAATCGCCCCTTACTATTATTATAATAATGCATATATTTATTACATATTTAACAAGCAAAGAAAAGTATGAAATTTATACTTGTAGAGAAAGAAAAAGAGAGCGAGAGAGAGAGAGAGAGAGCGAGAGAGAGAGAGAAAGAGAGAGAGAGAGAGAGAGAATATAAAGAAATTGTTTTAATTATCGAACATGTTTTAGTTAGATATCTTTTTAACAATATATCACGTGTCTGATACGACTATATCTTCTTATAGAAATCTGACGTATATAGCTTAGTTTTATACCAGCTTTGATAAATACTCGTACAAATATTATCATTTGATTAGGAATAACAAAAAAGTACCGAACACACATATGGAATATCACTGTAATACCTTATGAGTTTTTCGGACACGCAGAACAAGTATATACGCGCCCGGCGTTGAGTTTCTCCTCAGATCTAAGCTCAATTTATTTATTTTGTATTATTTTTTGCCGACCTTAGATATATGTTATAATTCTAGATGTAGATTGATGATACTGCAAAATATAAACGTTATGTAGGTTGTTGACATAACACAACTTCTTACTTCTTCCACATACAAGACAAGTTTTTTTTTCGATTTTACAAGGTGTTTAAAATAATCTTACTTGGCTGAAAAAAAAAAAAACGCAACGTCTTCTTTCAACATAGAGCCTCGTCTTTACGAAGTACTTTCTAATAATAACATATATTGTGTAACTCGAATATATGTAGAAAGCTATTGATGAAGATATGTTACAGCTTCTTTACATAATATACAATGATATAAAATAGAATATTCTATCATTTAACGTGGTGTAGCTAATGCGACAGAGAATAGACAGTGAGATAAAGTTTCAAACTCGATCAAAAGAGCAAATTCTTGGGCGCGTTCATACTATTATTAATAAATCTCTCTCAGTTTGTATAAATCTCATCATTCTTCATTCTTATATTTAAGTTGCAACAATCGAAAGATGTTTACATAACGTTAAAACTTGATATCGTTTTGACTTATACATAATACGAAACACACCGATTGGCCACGATATTGCACACCACATAACTATTACATATGTTGGACTTTATCTTGCTGTCTACGTTTAGTTTCCCGTATAGATTGCTTATTGCAAGGGTGTCGAACTTGGAACCCTACCGCGCTATGTATTGTGATCTTTCGGCAAGAAACGAAGTCAGCACACACGTGACATGTCAGGCCATCAACATCAATACAACACCAACAAAGATACGACGATTCACAGTGTGAGTACATTCCAAAATCTGACCTTGGTTACTAAAATGCTACATTTCACGTGTGCCATAGTTTTTGGTAACCAAGATAGGGTTTTTAGAACGTACTCTGTGAAAGCAAATGAAAGCGAAACAAATTTTTGACCGTACATAATAGACGCGTCGTGTCCTTGTGTAACGTCGTGCTGTGCTTTCTTGCTGGAAAGTAAACTACCTGGCCGATACTTTGTCATGATTTTTTTCTTTATAACTCATGAAAAAAAAAAAACTTGTAGACAGTGAACAGTCCACGAATGGAATAATGAAGAGGAAGTGAAATGCCAGGTTTGAACAACCTTGTAATATCATCTTTAGATCGTTGTAAGAAAAACTCACACGGTATAAGAAAAAAACACACAATGGAAGCATGTGCAGATATAGTTCCTCCTTGTTATATATAAAATTGAAGACTTGTTATTAGGCGGTTTTAATTAAGCAATATCCAATGAGGCTTACAAATATAGTATTTAAGTCACACTAGTTATATATAAATGTATATATATGATTCCATATATATATGATATATATAAAGAATGTGATACGTTATATGAGTTGCGTGCACGTGTGTATGTGTATGTGTGTGTGTATGTGTGAAGTGTAACGAAGTGGAGCGCAAGAGGGATGTACGTGAGAATGCGAGAAAGAGAGAAAATGTTGTGCGAAAGGAAGCGGAGGAGCGAGGGAGAGAGTGTGCATCTGCGACGTTTATATTGTGCTGCGCAAGAAAGAACGTGAACTATTCCAAGGTACGCCCTGCTATTACTTACCACCTATTATTATTCCAAACGATAATAACAGTATGTTCAAAATGCATCATAAAAAAAAAAAAAAAAAAAAATTGCAGATATCATGAAATAAAATATTCTGTGCGGAAAAACATGAAGACTTATTATCATTATTCCGGACGTTTTTAGTGCTGAGGAAAGGTGAAAGATTATGTAGAATCGCAGTATTGTGGACTAAATTGTTTGATCAAAGATCATTGCTCCTTCTCCTTTGTACATACAAAATTCGATTACGATCTGATTTAATAAACGTAGAAAAAAAGTATAAAAAAATAAATGATTTATGGAGAAAAAATAATAGCTTGGAGTTCACTGTTCTTCGGCACAAGATAACTGTCCTGGCACCTTTCTGCTCGTATCCTGTAACAGATTTCCTTATTCCGTCCCACGTGCATGTTATCCTTGACGTGCGTACATATTCTTGTTGTAGGACATCCCACATGTTTGCAATTCACTGCGAACATGATCGTTTCTGTTCGCAAGTACAGGTGGCAGTGCATCGAATGCAAATGCTGCTCCATATGCGGCACCTCTGACAACGATGTAAGTATTTTATACTCTGCGATTTCGCGGTATTTGTAGAAAAAAAAAAAGTGTTTTTTTCAAACTCGCCGACAAGGAATTCAGCAAATTTATTTTTGTTTTATTTTTTATTTTCAGAAAAAAAAGATTGTAACATTTATATATATTTTTTGATAAACGAAATTTATATATTTTTTGAGATACACGAAAGTGGTTTGAAAAAATCAGATTTTGTTGCATTTAAAGACTTCTCGCTCGCGAGTGTCAATATCTGTAAGAAAACTTTGCAAGACAATATTAGTATAATGCGCATACACCGTAGTATAATACGTTTTACGTGAACTGGAGTACACTTGATATTAACGGTTTGGCGAACTAAAATAGGATCAGCTGCTGTTCTGTGACGATTGTGATCGTGGATATCACATGTATTGTCTGTCACCGCCACTCGCATCGCCACCGGAGGGCTCTTGGTCTTGCCGCCTGTGCATTGCCGAATTTCACCGACGTGATTAAATTTCCAATCACTTTCATGGATAGATCACGGAGTTATCCATTGTTGCAGCGCAGCTCTTATTAGGAGAATTAGGAGAGTATTCACACGAGAGCTCACACTCGTATAGTATTATGTGGCGTATTGTACCAGCAAATTTTTCGAGACACACACACAAAACAAAGAAAGTCAACTTTGCATCGATTGCTATTTATTACGAAATTTGCATTGATCATTACTTCCCCCTCTCCCCTGTTAATTAAATTATGTTAATAATAACGATAACAATAATAATATTAATAATTAGAAGAGAATATACATTTATATAATAGCATTATTATATTAGGATATCTCAGGCACTGGTGATCTCAACGAGATAAAGATATGTAAGGGAAATATGTATTTATAATTTAAAACGAAATAGCTTCTACGAGAAATAGATGTATAAAGATATGTCGTAATTCATAACCGACTGTTAGCGAAGTTCCGTGTGGAGCAGACAAAGAGATTAATAATTTTAAAGACAAAGACGGAGTTCGATTTACCGACGATGTTAGATTTTACATTCGTACTGAACACAAAGTGTATTTTTTGCTCATTTTAGAAACTGACATATACATAAAAAAAAAAAAAACAAATATATATATATATATATACTCTTTACAGCGATATTACTAACATAAAACGAATGATAGAGACGTAGTCCAAGGTCGCTAAATAGGACAATACTCTCCTAGTTCTAGACTTACTCTACTCTTAGTCAATCATAATGAAACTTTTATATAAAATTCAATTGCTTTCGGAAAGTTTGTAAATTGCTTAAATTTGTCGAAATTTTGACGATCTCCACTTTTCACTTTTCTTAATCCCTCGCTATCGACTTGGCTCGGATAAAAAAAAGTTTTTATAAGAAAAGATACGGAGAGAAATGAAAAAAATTCATATTCTAGGAAATCATAATATTAATAGTATTTGTTCCATGAATAGTAATAGTAATTATCTGTTTCTCTGTATGTATATCATGATACTAAAAAGCTTTTACACTTAATGACATAACTATTAGTAGCGGCATAGCTGTCATATACGGAGACTTGCAGAAAGATTATATTCTACATGTTCTTTGTCATTTAGCTCAGTATTTTTGTATTTTATACATATACATATATATATTATATAAACACACTTTTGAATGTACTTAATTTAAGAAACTATGGTGATATTTGGTATTTGTTACTTGTAAAATCTTGTTTTAACTTGATGCTTTTAAGACCATCTAATTGTATTAGTGTTAGACATCACTCGAATTCGCTGACTTTTATCTTTTACGGTTTTTTTTATTTTTTATTTTTTATTGAATTGATGGATTTACATTTTATATCGCTTATTATTTTTAACATGTATGCAAATTTCAATAAACATTAGTTTATACAAACCGGATAAGTTTAGAACAGTCTATTACGCGCGTGTGCCATTATATATAATTTTCAACTACAGAAGACAGAGAGAGAAAGAGTGAAAAAAAAAAAACGAAATATAACAAACGCGAACAGGTGCTATATTTCAGGGATTAGCTTCTTCTTTTGGACATTACCGATTACTTTGTAATATTGGCAGTGATATTTTAAGCCAAGAAACACACACACATACACACACACATACACATTCACATACATTACATACTTTACACTTTATAGCAGATAATTGATATTCGCAAAAACTGTAATGTAAGATAAAAAAGTTAGTGTCCGAAAAATATAACATTTTTTCATAAAATAATATTAACACAAATATATGCTCTCCTTGACTATTTATTTCAAATAATCCCAATTTTTATTTCTCCAAGTAGACGATAAGAAAGTATGAAAATTTTTAATTTTAATATATTAATATATTTTAATTTTAATATTAATATATTAATATATTATATATTAATATATTATATATTAATATATTTTAATTTTAATATATTCTAATGTATAAAATAATATATATAGGGCAGTGAGAAATTTTTTTACCGCGTACTGTGTATAAGTTTTAATTTTAGTCGATTTCGACTAAAATTTCAGACAAAGACTTTCTGTGTAAGTCAGGAATCGTGGCATCTTTTGCTGGATAACCTACTGGCAGCAGCAACACGAGTTTTTCGTTGGAAGGACGATTAAGAAGACTGCGTATAGCCGGCCCACAATTTAACGGTGTAGATGTAAGAGTCATCAAACCTGCGTACTTGATATAAAAATGAGAAGCAATTAATTCTCTTACTTGATAAAAATAAGTTTCTCAGTGAGTGATTTAGACTTAGATTAGATTCAATTTTAAATGCGTGTAAATGTGTTCATACATATAGAAATATTTGTTTTTAATTTTCAAGCCAGAAAAGATTTGTTTTCGAGGCTTGAGTGTTTTAAAGAGACAGAGATCGCGACTAAAATCCTTACCTGTATAGCGGTAATGAGAATTCCACACGCGATAGAAACGCTGATTTCGTGATAATAATGGATCTTCTTCTTTCCGTTTGGCAAAATACTATAAGTTTGCTTGAAAACAAGTATCAAATACGGAACCGTCGTTAGATATTCTTTGATCCAGTTAGTTCTTAACGGAGACAAATCAGTTGTCCATTTTAAACCCATTCTCTTTTTGTAATTAACTTCCTCCTCTTGCTCCACAATATTTCGAATTTTCATCTTGACGTCCTGATTTGACACCACGACAAAAGTCCATGGCTCTGTGTGCGCACCGCTGGGAGCAGTACCTTAAAACAGCATCTCTCTCACAATAGGTATCTTAACAATAGGTGCTTACCATAAAAAATGATGACGTGCATAATCGTAGAAAAAAGAAAGCGCAGGTATCACGCATATACTCGAAAAATGAAAAAAACTAATAAAATAATAACTCTTAAATGTAATATAGATTTTTAGATCAAAGATGACTACCTGCGGCTCGTATGATTTCTCGAATAATATCTTTTGGAACGGGCTCTTCGCTGAAAAATCGTAAGGTTCGTCTAGCACTGACTATTTTGTAAAATTCCGATGCACGTATTAGCATGTCCCGTTCGGGTAACCTGACATAATGGTATGGAATGTGTCTGAGATCTTTTGGTAAAGCTGGCTCTTCTTGGTCTTCCTCAGGTAATTCCTCTTCCGCTTCTGAGAAATGGTATAAATCGTATGTATACACAATATTTTATATACATATGTATAAAATTAACATTAAAAAGTGTTACATAATTAATCTAACCAAATCGCGTTGGTAAACAAATTCGTCGTATATTTTGTAGATAAGCGCGATTTTATTTAAAAAATTTATTGTTTATGACGCGTCACTTACACATATATATACATTTAAAATTAATTACGGATAATTAACTTCCTATGTGTTTTTAATTTTTTTTCAGTCAACAACAGTTTTCTCAAACATTTTATATGTGATATATCTTCTATATACAGGGTGTCCCAGAATTGCCGTACAATCTCTCGTAGGCAGGTAGAAGGAGTAAAACTGAGTCGAAAAGTCCTGAACCATTTTTTTCTATTATTTATAATAAAGGAGTAATTATTGAGTAAATCAGGCCAATCAGCGCCGATCTTTAGCCAGGCGCACGTCAGTGAGCCACGCGCCTGGTGTGTGTGAGCACTCCGCGCAGTTCACTGACGTGCGCCTGGTTAAAGGTCGGCGCTGATTGGCCTGATTTACTCAATAATTACTTCTTTATTATAAATAATAGAAAAAAATGGTTCAGGACTTTTCGACTCAGTTTTATTCCTTCTATCTGCCTACGAGAGATTGTACGGCAATTCTGGGACATATAGCATATATACTTTCACTTGGATCCGTGGATTTATCTGACACTGAAAACGTCTGCGTTTCACTGCGAGCGGTTCTCCCGGATAGCCACCGATAGAATTTGTCAATCAAAACGATCGCAACGACTGCGATCAAAATGTGGTAAAAATACTTGTACGTAAAAGGAAAGTATTTCTCGAGTATCTTATGCATAACGAGAGAAGAACCTTTCACGCGGCTCCTATTACTCACTACCAGTCACTGAATAAACTCTCAGTCGAGAATGCCGAAGGCCAAAGATAACGACGTAACGATTTCACAAACACGTGGACAAACCTATCACTTGGCGAATAAAAAAAAAAAAAACAACTTAAACTCAAATGTTGTTTGAGATCGTGAGGATGGAACACGCAGCAGACGGACGCGAAATTGTATACGCACAATTTGTAAATAATTACAGAATTTTACGCACAATAAACAGTATGTTTCTATTTCACATTGCTAGTCGAAAATGTCGCGATCGGAAATGTGCGATCTTTTGCAAAGAAGCGAATGCGAAACAAGCGTTCTGAATTTTTCAAGAGAGATTTTAATTTCAATTTTTTCAAGTACTCGTATTAAGAAATTGATAAATTTCTTATGATCGCGTAAAATCATTTTATCTAATAAGTGACAGCGCGTGCGCGATTGACTTGTATACGTGCTTACCACATATAATACTAATAATGATAATATTTTGTGAGGTAAGTATAGAGTCATTTATTAGAAACAAATATTTAAAGTTTACTAGTAGTTTTATTATTATAATAAGTAGAGATATTTATTACAAATTTATTATAATAAGTAGAGATACTTATTTTATATTTATTATAATAAGTAGAGATATTTATTACAAATTTATTACAATAAGTAGAGATATTTATTTTATATTTATTATAATATGTAAAGATATTTATCTACGCACGTTCAAATCAATTTTTTCTTATCTTTATTCATTCACATTCACTATCTCATTTATTATGTTTCTTTTTTCTGCGTTTTTTTTAGATTTCCAATTTCATTCATCTCTTTCCTTCTTTATCTCCCTTTTAATCCTTCTCTTACTTTCTTCAATTCTATAGGTGTACCATATTGTATGTCATCAACTCTTCTTCCTCCTCACGTATAAATTGACCTTTCTTTTCTTTTTCTTTTGTCCTTGAACATTTGTTCGTCTCTTCTCTTTTATATTTTATAAGTTTTTTTTTTAAATATTTAAATATTTTTTCAATAAAATTAGCAAAGTGCATATGAAATGAAATCTATCTCACGACTTTTTCACATTTTCCGTTCTTCGAAGATAGATTTTTCCAATATACGATCGGAAAATTATTTACTAAACCGAAATTTTGCTAAATAAAAACTGTTGGAAGATAAAAGAATTATAAACAATAAAAGCAACAATCGATTGATCAAAGTTTTATATTTATGTATTTTATCAATTATTTATGTATTTTAACATGTAGTAAAAAATGATGAGATGTTCAAATATCACATTTGCATTCAGTGTTCGGCAGGAACTGTAGATACATAAGAATTTGACATGGCAATAATTTAAAAAGTTTTTTTCTCTTTACAATATAACTTACAATATAACTTACTTTACAATATAACTTTTACAAAACAAACTGGCTACTCGTAACTATTCGAAATAAATCCATCCGTTTGCAATATTTTCCCTATTATAGAAGAAGATGAACGACCGTGTCCGATATTTTTATTCTTTGAATCTATTGTTACGTTAAGAAACAAAATGTCATAGAAACACAGAACTATTTTGTCCCCGCGAAAAGAGATTCTGAAATAAATATTAATACATACAAATGTATAATATCTCTTCGAAAGCAGACATGGGTCTAATTCAGAAATTACAAACCGGTGTCTCTAGTAAGAATTCCGAATATTTCCGAACGACCTTTCTCTCTTTTCTGAGAGAGAGGTCTCTCAGAAAAAACAGCGTCAGTCGTTTAATAGCTTTGTGAGTATTATGAAGTGTAAAAAGATCCTGTCAGATCCATGTCTGAGGCGTTGGTTTTTCAAAAAGTAAGTAAATTTCTTTCCAGTTAGAGCACTTCTCATATATCACAAATAATTGATGTTTTTTTATAATTTTATGATATTTTATCAAAATCTATGTATATTTACAGCGAGTTACAGCGAATATTTCGATTCTGCTTCAAAATCTGAGGATGCTATGTGAGGAGAACGCACAGAATGTGCTGTCAAACAATAAAACAAATTTTCTATTTATAATTTTGTTCTTTTAATATTGTTCTTTTTCTCTTTTCTTTTTTAATTTTAAGTTTCTTAAGCTCTTTTAATACCAAATAAAATACATAAAATAATATCCTGTATTATCCATTCCTATCACTAAAAAATCTCTTTCATCTGAATTTCTAAAATAACAATTTTTTTATATCAATGTTTCATCTCAAATTATAAGCAATCTCTTGCAAAACCGAAGCAGTATTTTGAAAAAATTCTAATTATAAAAATAATGACGATTTTTAAAAGAAAAAGATGATTCCTTGAAAAAAGGTTGCTCCCTTTTCTTTCAAACGCGTATAGCAACTATTGGATATTTCTTCGATAAGTTTTTTTATTTAATGGAGAATCGCTTAAAATATTCATTTAAAAAAATTGATTTATCATCACTGAAATATTGTCACAGTTGGGACGCTAGAAAAATGCATTATTGGAAAAAGAAACGTCTCAAAAAACCTATTGTTGGTCTTGTGAGCCACAATATTGCTCAGAATGTTTTCACTTTTAAAATTTTTAGGAGGTAAATTTTGTTCTGAATGTACGAGCTATTCTCCGCAAAACCACGTTGGGATTTTATAAAACTTTTAATTATAAAAAAATGACAAATTTTTAAAGTTTTTTTTGAAAAAAAATTGCCAAGCTTTTTAAACACTATTATATTTTCGAAACTATTAAAGATTTAAAAAAATTTTTTTTACTCGACCCAGAATCGTTCAAACTTTTGATTCAAAAAAAGAAGAAATTAAAAAAGATGATTTTTTGCGGAGATGTTTGATTTTAAAGTCCCGGGGGTTTTTACAGATCCAATCTGTTCAACAAGTAGTTTGGAGTTTGTCTACAAAAGAATATAACAGACTTTCTGTTCGAGAATAAAATTTATCTCCTGTTCCGTCACTTCTGGCAGTATTCAACATCTGTGATATTTATACACACATGTAACGTACAGTCATAGATTTTCAGTACGCACTATACCAATCACAACGATATGTATATATCGTATATATATATATAGCCGTGTTGCAAAACTATTTTGTTTAAAAAAGATTTAGGTGAAAATATTTTTAAACATGAAACATCTTTTTAAAACATTTATACGTGGATGTAAGTATTGTTTTTCTTCGACGTACTACATTATATTTTTTTTTTTTCCATACTTAATACACTTTGCAAATTGATACGCCTGCTTTATATGCAAATATTATTGTAATAAGCGTCTTTTCACATTTTCTCTTTCCACGATCGCATCGTGATGATGATGAGAGACGCGCATCGCGTTGACCTTGATTATCAATAAGGAAAAATCGATACACGGAATTAACGAGAATATTGTAGTAGTACACAATCTCCTTCTCTCCGGGGGAAACGCAAAAACGCGAGATATACGTTCTCTTCTCTCTATGCATGTTATTTTATGCACGATTGTCTTTCCGATCGCACAGGAATAACACACTGAAAGCCGCGTGTCGAATTCTTGGAAGCTGTTTCGTATAATAAATTAAAAAGGGACAAAATATTAATGATAAGAATCACATGCGAGAGATGCTTGAGAAACACAGGGCCGTTACGTTGCGTCAAGCGCCTGGCGATGTACAGATCGCGCGCAATTAGAGAAACCTGGAACTTTAATTACAATATCTTTAATTAATTACTCACAGAATATACAAATGACACAGTTTGTTTTTCTCTATATTGAGTTTTTGATATTCACAATAGGAAATTTTTCTTCTTCCAAAACCAAAAACTAATTAGAAGGAGAGCAAAATACGCTTTATTCTCTATTCTTTGCAATTTCACCGGAGAGAAACATCACATTTATAAGTAGGTCATAAAATTATCGTGAGCATCACGCGTAATGAACGTACGTAATGAACTTTGCCGAGAAGAATGTGTGTACACGACAAGTGATTTATTATTTGTCATTACTTTTCGCACACATGTGTCGTTGATTGGATCGTTGATTGGAAAAATTGAATTTGTCTATCGAATAATTTTCTCCGAGATCCTTATTTGTTTAATCGTCATCATGATCGGCGATTATCGAACACAGACCTGAACGTTTACACGTGTGACGGCCAATCAACGGCGGTCCGTGTCGCGGCTGCGCGAGGCGCTGCAACGAGCGCTACCAGTTACGAAAACGTGCACGATTCCGACGGTACGGCTGCGTCGGGCGTCCGCACCAACGGGTGCGGCGAATCGGGGCGGGCGATCACGTACGATCATGTAATAACGGGGTTGTGAACAGCGTAACCCGGGACCGCGACAACGGGTCCTCTCGGAACGACGCGGATCATCGCTTGGACGAGCGCGCACCAGCTTGCACTTTCTGCACGCGTAAAACAAAATCCGTTCTCCTCTGCGTCGTATATCATCGTGTTTTCAACACGTACGTGCGCGCGCGCACGGATGTATATACAGGTATATAACATACACTCTTCAATACACACACACACCTAATACTTATCGTCGCGCATATACACACGCGGTACGCGACAAGCACGCGTGTGCTTGTTAGGCGCATATACGAGCGACGACGGTGCTGTATACGACGACGACGACGACGACGGGAAGAGACGTTTTCCCGCAAATGGGCGTATCGCGTTAACCACGAAATGCGTCTCGATTGAGCCGATCTTTTTCGTTTGTTCTCGAACGGTGACGTTCCAGTGGGAACGGTGATAAAACGGTTTTGACAAGTGCCGCTCTACGCGTAGACGCGAGAAAGAGAGACAGAACGGACGTGGAGAGTGCGAAAGGGGGATGGAGAGTGCCATGCAGCCGCTGCTTCCACCGCCGCCGCCGCCGCCACCGCCGCCCCCACCTGCTTTCGACATGCCGCGGAGCAGCAACAACACGTCGGAACGTACGGTCACCCACGAGTTGACATTTGGTACGTTTGATTTGTTCCTAAACTGTTTAGCTCTGCCACATACTCCCAC